GCCCCGTCCTCTGCTTCTTGGTCAGGAGGAGCAAAGCTGTCTCAGATGGGCTCACAAACTGCCTGACCAAGGGAGATTGGGGGGGGGGGGGGGCTCTTGAAATGCCTGTTTTACCTGTTCCCCCCTGGGAAGCCCTTTGGCCTTGCACTGAGGTCTTGGTGTCCGGTCCTTTCCAGCCCCACCCGTGACTCCTGCGCCCGTGCGGGAGCCCTCCAGCCCTTGCCCCCCGGGGCAGTTTGCGTGTGACCAGGGCAAGCAATGCCTCGACCTCCAGCTGCTCTGTAACTTCAAGGCCGAGTGCAAAGACGCCTCCGACGAGCAGCAGTGCGGTAAGGGATGGAGGAGCCCTTCCGCTTTCTGCCTGGGTGGGCTTTGGAAAAAAGCTGTGGCTTCTTGTGCAGGGATGTTTGAAAAGGCCAGAAGGGGCCCTGGCCTTCCCAGTGGAGATCCCTGAGCCTCTTCCCCCCCTCACTCCCAGCTCCTGAAGGGGGCTGTGTGGCCTCTCAGTTAATGCCTGCCCCTTGAGATGCAAATCGCGATGCCTTCCCCTCCAGGAGGGACCGATTTTGCCAAGGGCCCCGGGGGCTGGATGGACATCAGCGTGGGCCGCCTGCGATGGACCACCAGCCGCCTCAGTTCTGTGGGTAAGAGGGTCTCAGGAACGTGGCCCCACCAGGTTAGAAGTGGGGCTCGGGCTATGCCACAGAGGAGAGGGTGGTAGCCGTCTTTTGGGCGACTCGGGCCCACCATTGTTCTCTTCCTCCTCCTCAGGGCCGGTTCTGAGTCTGCAGGGGGCCCCTGGGCAAATGTTCTCCATGGCACGGGCTGCTACCCCCGTGTTGGGCCCTTCTGGCTTAGGCTGTGTGCTGCAGATGGACTTCACCGCGGGCCCAGAAGGTATGGGCGCTGCCTTTCTCCCCTTGGCGCAGCCAAATGTTGCCCAGCACTGAAGCCACCGCCTGCTTCTCTCCTCCCCATCCTGCAGGCTTCCTCGCCCTTGCCATTGCCGATGGGAGCCTGGGCACCCGCTGGTGGGCTTGGTTTGCCAAGAGCAATGGGACCGCTTCCTGGGCAGAAGCCACGGTGCGCCTGGGCGCAAGGAAGAGGCCCTTCCAGGTAGGCGTCTGTCTCCCGTTCCTTCAGGTTGGGTGGGGCCTGGGGCGAAGGCCGAGGGGAGGCTGCCTCTTGGGGTGCAGCTGGAAGAAACGTTGCAGGTGAAGCCCTTGTCCTGTTTCTCTTTCCTCAGCTTGAGCTGCTTGCCAGGGCTGATCTTGATGGCCCCTGGGGGGCCCTGCCACTTGCGGTCAGCAATATCTCCTTTGTGAACTGCAGCGCTGAAGCCCCAGCCTCAGGTACCAACCCCTGCCTGCCCTGCCCCTTCGGTCTATAGGGATGAGACCTTGCGCTGCAGGCTTTGAGGAAAATGGGGTGGGGGCGCATTCTTTGCCTCCTATGTTGGCTGCTGCCGGGAAAGACCCCCAGCCACAGCCTTGCTGCTTCTTCTCCCTCCAGCCCCCCAGGCAGGGCTCTCCTGCAATTTCGAGACCGGCTGGTGCAGCTGGTCTTTGGAGCAGAACGATGGCTTTGAATGGAGGCTGAGCAGAAGCCGGAGAGGGGCCGCGGACCACACCACAGGCACAGGTAGAGCCACGGAGCGGCCATCGCCTGGCTGGCATAAGGAGCCCAGCCTGGCATGGGTGGCTGACTTTGAAGCCATGGGTGGGGTGGGGGGGGAACTCTGCTTGTGCCAGGAACAGGTGATCAAGCCCCGGAATGACCTTTGGTTTCCTCTGGCTCAACATGATGCTCCAGAAATCAGACGCCCTTTAGAAAGATGCGGGAGCCAAAGAGGCCCCCGTCTAATTCACAACTCCCGCAAGCTGCCTCTCTCCTCAAGAAAGCTCAAAGTCATGGACTAGTCTTGCCTGACATCAGCGGGGAAGAGAAAAGACCAGAAGGGGAGCCACTGGGAGGCAGCCATGGAGCCCCTCTGCAGCTCCCCTCTCTTCCTCAACAGGCTCCTTCCTCCTTGCGGAGCCTGGTGGGGCCTGGAACCCAGGCAGGCGCGCCCAGCTCATTTCTGCTCCCCAGGTGGCAGCTGCTGCCTCTTCTGCCACTGTGGAGGCCTCCTGCCTTTCCTTCTGGTACCGCATGGAAGGACCCCAGATTGGTAAGCCTCCAGGCTCCCCCTGCAGGAGCTGCTGCCTCTGCCCACCCTCCAGAGAGGAGGAGAGCAGCTAGGAGTGGAGGGGCAGGCGGGGGGGAGGGTGGCTGTCAGATTGCAGCCAGGCAGTTCTATCCCCACATTAGAAGAAGCCTGCAGATGGGCGGGGGGGGGTACTAGTGGCCCCCTCCCCTCCCATCTTAACAGTCTTCGCTCCGTCTTGTGCAGAAGGCTGCCAGGTGAGCGAGGGCTGCCCAAGG